AGCGTTGGCGGCCTGTTGCGGCGCGGAGCGGCTGGTCGCGCGGTTGGGTATGGTGGGCGGTGCATTGTTCCCCGCTAGACCGGAGAAGCTCAAAACTGGGTGAAATGTTTTGTCGAAATGGGGGAAGCTGTCTGCACTACTCGCTCCCCCGGCAGTCACTTGTGCTGTTGCTGTGACTTACAGAACTTTATTCTGGTTTCGCTGTTATCTCTCGGGTAATAAAACAGATGAGCCTTGCTGATAGCTAATTTTGCATTCACTTTCCTTCTTCAAAATCAGTGCCTCAGTATTCCTGTGAGGACGCTGCCTTTTTTTTTTGGGGGGGGAGGGGTGGGGTGGGTGTTGTTTGTTTTGTTTTTTTAACAAGGCAGCTTCTTTTAATTAGAGTTTTTTAAGAGCATAGCTGCTGTTAAATTTTGCCAGATGTATTTAACTTTGAACCTGCCAGTTCTTTTGCTTTTGTTTTGCTTTAGTGCCTAAGAACCTCTCGGAGTGTAAGAGGGAATTAGTGTTATAATCTTGTCTTGTATGACATAAATACAACTGAGGCTAAAGATCATCTCTGTTAGGATAAATTTTATTTAAGTTAGAACAGTAGGATACTTCGAATAGATGGGTTGTTATTTTAAAAAAGTGTTCTGAGTGGAAGAGTACAGAAAACTTATAAGTGGGTGGATAGCTTTAGGAAGTGTTCCTTGTGAGATGTTGACAACTTAAATGAAAGGTTGTGTTACTGCTAGTGATATTACTTAGATTTTATATCTCCTTCAGTGAAAGGAATCTAAATATACTCTAACAGTGTGGGTGTGTTTGATTTGGGTTTGTTGTTTTGTTTTTTTTTTTTTTAATTGATGAGTATTAAGCTGGTTTAAAATTTCCAGGTAGTATATGAAGTAGCTTGTGAACTGCACAAATACATGTGTGCTTTTTTTTTTTTTGGAATGCTGAAAGATGGGAAGTCTCCCTGTTTCAGTGTTCCAAATAGATTACTGCAGTTACTTGAACTGCAACGTGTATTTTCAGTACAACATGCATTCTAGTAAGAGTTTGTGATTACTTAGCTGTGTTATTTATTTATGTTTTCAGTGGTGAGGCATGGACTAACTGTAGCTTGCAAGAGTCTTTACTATACAAATATAAAAGAACACTACAGAACTATCTTTCAATATATAACTTGTTAATGAAACTTCATGCAAATGTGGTATCCAGTCTCCATGTTTATTTCTTGACAGTTTGTAGTTCTAAGTATGTGTTTAAGTTCACTTAAGTGATTTGTTTCCTCCATCTATGATATTGCTTGAACATAGGTGATACTTCTTATTTGCTTTCTGTATGAAAAGCAGAATGCGTATGCAGTATTGAATCCTGCACTTTCTGAGTTACTAAAGGAATTTATCTTCTAATACTACTAGAAGATTTTATTTAGGCCAGAAGAACTGCTGAAGAGGTCTGTTTACAGTGAACTTAAGGAAAACACTGAGTTAAAGTGAAAGCTGTAGTTTAGAAATTCAGGAAAAGCGGCCTGTTTAACAGTAATGCCTTTAGGTAGGGTAGTGCATTATAGCTTCTTTGCAAGCAAGTTAAGATTTATATGTAAACTGCTGTGACTGTAATATCTTTGGATTCTTTTAAGTATAAATCAACTAGTCGGTATTATTCCTTTATGCAATTAAAGATACTAAATAGTTTGTGTGTCTCTTCATAATACTGCCTGCAAACTGTTCACTCTACTTCTGTTGACTTGCTAAAGTGAGAAAATGTGACTGTTTCCTTCAGAACCCTTCTCTCTCGCACTTAACAGAGGTGATGCTATAGCCTGTATACCAATCAGAGAATCAGATGATGATCTAAGAGTGACGTTCAAGTGAATTAATAGAACGGAATCTGAATTTAGTAGTATTAAAGCAGAAAATTGCATATGTAGTTAACAGATGGTTAGAGAGTGAACTCTATTGTTATGGCTCAACAGCTTTGCTTCTCTACTCAGCTTAAGCTTGAAATGCATGTACTATGAAATGCTAAAGAGCTGGCTCAAAAACAACCAGTATGGGATTGAAACAGTCAGAAGGCAGAAACGCTTTGAATAACTGTCTGGTCAACTCTCCTTTCTCTCCCTTGATGTCCTCTTTTGTCCAAGTGCTTAAAAAGCCTTGAAGTATTTACTTAACTCTGCAGTTAGTCAAGATCACTTTGTATCAGTATATTGAAATAAGACATTTTCTAGCTTCAGTGTTCCAGCATACTACGCAACATCTTTGTAGGTAGGAGGCTTGCATGTTCACTTCTCACATTAACTGGGTTAATTTATGGCCTTTGGAAGTTATGATGGAAACCACAGCTTTTCTGCTTGGGCCAAAGAGACGCTAGTATGACCATAGTGATCTGTTTCTGTAGTAAGGTAAGATGTCTTAGGCATATTTTCTGCCATCTAGATTCAGCTGTTTTAGTAGCACCTTCATCTGTGACTCTTAAGATTACTGTGTACTCTATGTTATTTCATATGCCAGGTTTAGGAATAGTGTGCTATCTCAAAGTAGACACCACATCCAAATTCTAGAAGACCAGATGTCTGATTGGATTATCTTAAGAGCAAGATGTGGAGCCATTGTTTTTGGCAAAACTTTCCACAATAATAAAACAAGTAGGGATAAATGAGAAATGATATCTTGTTTGTCTCATTTTTTCAAGTTGGAGGAAGAGAGCAAAGAACTCGGGAAACTATTTAATGATCACATTTGATCCTGATATTTTCGGGGAGGGAGGCAAGCCTGAAAGATCAATCAGAAAATATGTAGAGAATATGAACATAATGTTGAAAGCTTTGCATAGCATGTTTAATCGTTTTTGTGGTGTGTCAGGGTGCCAGCATCTGTTTTAGAAACCATATGGTTTTAGAAACCATGAAAATGTTTTTCTACTCTTGCATATTATATGCAGCTCTATAGCTAGCTTGGGACACTTCTCAGGAAATGGGATAGACTGAATTGATAGGATCGGGAAGACATTTGGTATAAGCTCTTAACAGATTGCTTGTTTATGGAATAGTTCTTCACACAATATTAGGAAAAAATCTGTTACTTCAAAATACAAGACTCTTCTTGACCTCTGTTTATTTAATAACTTCCTTAAAGTGCCAAGAAGCATGTTTGAAGTGGTATATGTGATTTGGAGTGGGTGAAAAAGTTCCAAACTAACCCTTTGACTGTTCTTTCTTCTTGCTGTCAGTCTGTATAGTCATCCCCTAATACTGTTAAACAGATGTAGCTTTTCGTCTTCCATGGGACTTAAAAACTTGGAATGCTCAGTGACAGAATCTATGCAATGTGTTACGTGCTAGCAGTGGAAAAGAATACCAAGAGGACCTCAGCGTACAACTGTATGGAACTGTGAAGCTGTAATACACTCTACTGGAGTGGTGATATATGTTTTTAGGCATGTTGGCAAAATGGCTAAGAAGAGCACCTATGAAATTGGTAGTAAGGATTTGGTTACAAATGTGAAGGGAGGCAGAACTGAGTAAAAATGATGTATGTATGCACAAGCAGAAACTGCTCCATAGTGAGGTTTGAGGGTGGGTTAGTTTCTTTGGAGGAAGTTTTGAGAACATTCCTATTTCATTTTGAATGAGATGATTTCAAGCATTTGTACACAGTCTAAGTTGTGCATCTGCAAGGAGATGGAGTACATGATGTACTGGTTTCCATCCTGTGTGCACTGGGTCTTCTGGAAAATGAGCACTGAAAGACCATAGGCCAGCTCTTGTCAGTTGTGACAAAAGATGCTTTTAAACATGAAAACTCTAAAGCATTTTTCTGATGACCAAGGAGGTCCTGGGTGAGGCTTGTGAAAGAGCCATGTGATTTCCAGTTTGGTAACAAAACGTGGTTGGGATTGAGGATGGAAACTTCAAATTTTTTTTAGTAAAAACTAGTGACCTGAGTTTATTAAATATGTTCTATAATATAGCAATTCCAGTACTAAAAGCATTCTTATTGTTACTATGTATCAAGTGAATCCTAGGCCTCTTTTATCCCTGCTACCCAGTGACACGGTCCCCACCTTCAATGACCATAGGCAGAATTTCTAACTGGATCTGAGTATGTAAAGTAAGATTCTATTGTGCAAATTTAACTTCTACTAGAGGTTTTTGGAGTGAATCTCATTATTTCCCAAACTAGTAGTTGAGAGAAAAATGCTTTCTGGAAATAGATGTTATGCTCCTCTAGAAGAATAAAGCATAATACCCTAGTCCCCAGTTAGGCAATGCACGCTTCTCACTTGTAGTAGTGCCCTAATTGATAGATTAATCAAAAACAAGTTAATAAAATTTCAAGTAGTGCTTTATACAGTGGCTGTAGGCAATGCTAGTACAGATGTGATTATGTCTTTTTTTTTTTATTCAACTGTAACTGGTTTGAGCGGTTGAGTTAGAGCAGAAAACAAGGGAGTAATAGACATTTCTAAAGGCTTGGTTTGCTACAAAGTGATATTACCTCAGTGCTACTTGCATTGTGAAAGGATTATCAGCCACTGCCTCCACAGGGTGGATTTTTGCATCTTTGTACTGGAGTGGTGATACAGTTAGTGTTTCTCATATAGAAACTGTAAAAATACAATGCTATTTGCTTTTATTTTGTGTAAGTATAGTGGAAGCCAAGTCTTGTGGGTTTTTTGGTTTTTGTGTTTGTGGTTGGTTTTTTTTTTTTTTACACTAAGAGTTACACTAG